AGTTTGAATTAACATTGCAAACGATGAGCTTAAATGTGTTGTTATCGTTGAGCCTACGATCGTTTTTATCATATATATCGCACAGTATGATCACCTCTAATTGCTGTGTAGCAGCTGCAGCCACACGGCCGCTGTTAATGGCTTCTTATATACTTTCCCTACTGCAGTGCTGGGCCGCAGCATGTTCCCACCTTCAGTATATGTTCAGTGGTGTACCATTAACAAGACCGTAATGTCTTCCTAACATCAACGTGACCACAATACCGTGGCTTTTGTTCAGTAATGTGAACTAAGTAATTGAACATTATTCTTTATGATGTGTGTTAGTGTTGAAAGTCTAAAGCAATGTCTTGTCGAAAATGAGAGAAATCGATAAGTTATGATTAAAAAGAAATTTTTTCCTAAAATTACGACAATGAGATGGCTAAAGTAAGCAGTAAAATAAAAAGCACAGTTTCTAAAAATTAAAATAATTTTTTCAACAAAAAGTCATTGTTGAAGCTGGAGGATCGTTCACGTGACCTACGGAGAATGTGACTTCGCACAGGGATGATATGAATAAATTATTTTTAAAACTAAATAATCATTAATTAATTTTACCGGAGTCATTTAAATGCACAAAACACGTGGGAAATCGTCCCGTCTTTTAAATTTTCTGATTTCGCTTGTGCAGTTCATGTAGTTCTCCTTCGTTTGGTTCGTTTCATGTCGTATTCAGGGTGTCGTGTTCAGATGAATAATTCACGTAGACAGTCCATTCAGCAAGAGTTGTGGTTCATTCAGCGCCGAGTGTTCAGACAAGACGTGCTGCTAATATCAATTCCTCGTCAAGGACAGTCGTCTCATCAGTCAGATTTCTTTATCATTTCTATCAATCAGGTGAAGTTTTAATAAATCCTAACTCTCTTTACATTTGTGTAAACGGTGCTGTTAATTATTCAATTTCATTTACTCTACGCCTTTAATTTTCATAGCAAATTGATGATATTGTTGAGAAATCACTTAATAAAAAATTTATTACTTAGTCAATCGAATAACTTCAATCGATTATTAAATTATAATGAGGCGTGGTCTCTTGAATTAGCTGTGAAGTCCGTTATCATAATTATGACCTTTGCTTATAAAATCTTTTCTTCACCACGGTCTACTTTCCAACTATCGTTTACTGTTTCCCGTCTAGAGTGTACCTAACTTTTATTGATTTATTCAGTGTTACAAATTTTTCACCTTCCTGAAAGCTGGTAAAAAACACAAAATGTAGGGCTCGTAAATTTCATGTGTATTCATTTATTCATTAGTTTCATATGCGTAAATTTTCAATGATCAGGGACAAGCATGACAATTATTGTACAGGGTTATTATGTTCTTTCACTTCTTTGCAGTTTTTTGTTTGGCCGCATGCTTAGCAGCGACGTTGAGGATTAATTGTTCTCTTCTGCATATCGTTGATTGCGGCGATTGTTGCTTAGAAGATCTTGATATGTACTCAAGTATTTAATTGTTTGGATTTCCGCTATGTTTGAACATGACATCCAAACAAATTTAAGAGAATTTAATAATTATAAAAAGAACATTTCTGAAATTATTTTTAAGCCGATTTGTTGCGGCAATCTTGAGTCTTTACACATTCTAAAAAATTGCACTCGAATCAGTCGTGCTGAAATAATCGAATCTGTCGTGCTTGAAATAAGCTAGCATAGCTCGTATTCTCGATATTCTTGAGTTCATGCATTATCTTGGGCCTGGAGGAAAAATTTATATCAAGTTATTTCTGCTACACCTCCTTGGTCCAATCAAACTTCCAAAAACTTCCTAAGTTCCTGTCAAACTTCCAAACTTCGTAAAACTTCCGACACCTCTTTAGTCCAATCAAACGTCCTAAGTTAGCCGCAGAACTGAAATGGAGCCTAACTCTGGACGGATGTCAGCTGTCGTCCCTTTTTCAGCTTAAGCGCAGAACTGGCGTTAAATGTGGACAAGCGTCAGCTTGCTTGGAACTTTGTCAGCTGATGAACAGAAAGTGAGCCGCCGCTTGTTAAGAAAAAGGCAGGACGTGACGTTTAGGAACGTGCGTTGCAGTTGAGTTTCTGAGGCGGAGAAAGTGCGTCGCTGTCGAGGACGTCACATCCGACGTCGGTTCCGTGCTGCACATTTGCGATCGCGTGCGTCGTTATCGACGTCAGCTTGTCAGTTCATGGATAACTTTGGATTCATTAAGTATTTTCGTGTAATTATTTTAGCAATTGCTGTGATAAGAACAGAACAGTGACATGGCAGTTACGATCAAAGGTTGTGTAAACTAATTATATCTAAAATAATAACGCTGCTGTGACCGGCTGATGAGACCTCGAGTAGGTTCCGTGAACCAAGAAGTATATCTGAGAGCAACTGGTGCACTTACTGAAACATTGATGCCTTTATTGATGCTTTCAGTCAAGCATTTAGCTGCGGCTACATACGCATCTTCTGGTGATGCTCGCACCCCAGGCGTGACCTCTTACGCGAGACGTACGCGCGTGTAGCGTATGAAGGAGCTGCCTTAAATGCGTAGGGAAGCTTTTCCCTGTAGGGGTCACGGATGGTGGTCAGGGCCTGCGGGGCCGGTATGGGGGTGTGGTAGTGAGGGCTGGTGTGGTAGTGAGGGCTGGTGAGGTAGTAAGGGCTGGGCAATTAAGGAAGGTCAAGTTAGAGTGTTAGGCCGTATCGACATTTCGATGTTTATCCTAAATTCATTATCAGAGAACTACAATCTGTTCCTTTTGTGATATAAATTACACAAACAATAAGTAAATTCTTTTAGCAAGGAATGCATGTGCACAAACGTTAACAGCGCATGCACCAACAGCGCCGGGAAGTCGCAGGTCTTGTGCAACAACTTTCACGGACCAGCCGGCCTTCTAATAATCGTCAACATTTTATACAGTGTGCGTATCCCAAGGGTCAAAGGTGCGTCGGCTTCGGAATATCCTTTCACAAGGATATTTTTCGTTGGCACAGCGCTTGCATTTGGCACTCCGTTTATTTGATTGTAATTTATTGTATGTAATCATCAAGCGTATGTATACAAGAATTATAAACAAACAATACGTGTGACAGTCGTTAAGCCAAGCTGCATCTTCGACGCCGTTGAATCGCACGTCGCTCCTTCAGGATGTTTGCTCTGCCCATGGCCGACCTGTCAGCACCCGAGGTCTATAGGACACGACTTGCTTTATTTAGATACGTCAGGGAATTGCTAACGATAAGAAATTTTTGACTCACTTCAGCATCGAATGATGTCAATAACTGAATGAAGAGTAAATTACTTAAAGCTACGAGTGCAGCAATAAAATTCGTCTAATGAACATCGTCTTTTGGAGTTATGCTATATTTTGAAGTTATGCTCCGATCGTATATTGAGTTATGCTCCAAATCGTTTTAGAGTTATGCTGTATATTATTAATCCAATAAAATACTGCTGTCATATGTTCCATCGAGGTAAGCGTATTTCTAGGACATCAGCAAATGACGTTTGCGTTACTAAGGCTTCATAGGACAGCAGGCATCTGGCTTCCATACGCAAACGAACGATGCTATTAAAAATAATCATAATATTTTGAAAACGGTAACGGATGTGGGTGGAAACATGTTGACTAACAAAATTTTCCTTCTATATTACTTCTTTTTGTTAATAGTCTGTATGAGGAATCATTATAAACACTCTAAACATTACAGTAAGTCCCATTAGCAGGAAATACGACGAACGTGCCCATTTCTTTGGTCATGATCAGCGAAAAAAATTTAGGATATATAACAGAGGCGCTGCCAGCAGCCGCCTCATGGCCGGCTCGTGTAGATGAATTATGCAGGCAGCGGCAGAGCCTGGCATGCAATCGGCGTCATCAGTTGCCTTCTAGCCTCGCATTGACGCCTTTGTCGCGAACTGCTGAGTGGGCTGTACAAAGACCATATCACGCAGGCACTCGATCGTGAGTGGCCGACACTGAGCGTCCGTCACTCACTCGTGACGCTCGAGCGTCACTCACATCCACTCGAGCATTAAGAAGTTTGAACTTAATTCAAACTGATTCGAAATGGTCAACTGTTGCCATAATAACGCTGCACATTTTGCCTGTGTGGGATTTATCCCGACCTAGTTTGACCCGAAAAAAGTGCATTATGGTGCTACGTGCAGAATGCGTGTCCCGATTTGAATAACATTTAGTATTCTGTTTAACCGTTCCAAGTGAATCCATCAAAAAAGTTCAAGCTCCTCCCTAAGTACTGTACAAACATCTTGGCAATTTCCAAGAATTGTTCCAGTGCATCAGAATTGTTCGGAAACTCTCAATACTTGTTTTTTCATGCATTTCAATATATTTTCTACAAATTGCTTGCGTATTTTTAATACATTTAGACGCAATTCTGTTGGTGTCGAATGCATTATTCAAACATATCATATATATCATTCGCACTTTTTTCATCCTTTTTGAAAATGTTCTCTATATAATTCCTGTTTTTTATCTATTCTTCAAACATTTTTCGTTCAATTGTGCATTTTTCAGTTTTCACCGGATTTGGGTGTTTATTATTTAACTTTATATATACTGTCTCTTAAAAATTTTTTCTTAATTTATCTCCTGTCTTAGTTGAATTTTAGACGATTCATCACTAATTTCTCTTTCATCTTATTTCTCTTGAATTTTTGTGTTAGATATTGTGTTGGAAGTAGCGAAGGATGTTATCGACATTACTAAGCTTATCGGGTTTTTATTGTCATTATAAGCTGACCCGAAACTAAAGGTTTAAATAAATATAAGTACAAGAAGTTAGTCTTGTAGTTACGTCCAAACATTTCAAATGTAATTTTATAATTTGAGCTTCATTTTTCTTCTATTGTACCAGTACTCCGTGCAATTCTGGGGCAAGCACGGATTTCCTAGCTCGAGCAAAATTAGGTTCACATGCTAGTTTACATATATATTTGAATTTGAATGCACTTAATGTTTCTCCTATTTCCAGTGTTTAGTTTGACTGAAAAATTATCAAAAATGTTAGTCGAAATATGCAAAGGACAAAACACAGATCATAGAATTCATGATGACAAGAGCACGAGGACTGTGAAGAATTTCGCTGGCAACGTTGACGACACGCGCACCTGCCAACCTTGTGATGAACGGCTTGGTTTATCTTCCTCATTTCTGCCAGTGAAAATTATAGTGGAAAATAAAGTTGTTCTTAATAACCTTACCGCGGTTGCTTCAGAATTTACAGAGAATGTATTAGTAAATAAAGAATACTCTAGTATCGGTCATAGTGTTCGTGAGGAGGACGAGGAATATTACAACTGGTGTGCGCCGAGAAAAACTTACGGCAGGAATATGGTGATGTTTTCGAGAATCCCCTCCACGATTACAGTGACGTTTTGCTCTAAAATGGCGAGACTGTCACTGGCAACACTAGTAATAGTGACTACCTTGTTACATGTGTTGCCAAGAGCCTTGCCTGTATCACCATCTGTGCAACTACTCGAGGTGCCGGCATCAGTACCACCCTTATTATCCTGGGTATCTGTGATGCTTTCGTTGTTGATACCACTTCCCTCCCACCGGTCGTTGTCAGCGCTTCCTACAACCACACTACCCCAAGCTTCGCTGACGTTTCTGGCGACTCTTCCCCTAGCCTCGCCAGCCCTCATCCCCGACTTCATAGAATGGGGATACTGCAGCGACGTGCAGCTCCAGGACGACTTCGATTCTGCCAAGGTGAGTGTAGCTGCCCTCCATATTTTAATTCAGCTGCCCATTCATTAAATGGTTGCGTTTCCAATGCATGATACTGCTTTATTTTTTTCGTTAGCTTTCAAGATTGTTGAGATAAAACTTACCCTTCTCACACGTAACAATTCTGCAGCACTATCTATTGCTGTAATTTTGTATCGTCTCCGCGAGAAGTTTCGTGCTGCATGTTTATGGCATAGTAAATTTTTGACTCTCTCGTTGCATACAAAAAACAAACAAACGCTTACAGGTAAGCTCTAATTTCCAACAGTGGCAAATTATAAATATTAAATAACATGAAAAATCGTCCATGCATTTGCATCAAGCCATCGGTCAGTCGCTCGGATTTTATTCAAGGTTGATTTACAATCAATGTTGAGGTCACCGACACCATAACAACACTGGAACATTTGGTCCCTAATCCTGGGTCGCCGGACACGCAGTCTGACATAATAGACTCAGACGGAGAAAAAGTCTTACTTTGAAGACGAGACGCTGTCTAACTTTGGGACGAAGGTGAAGTCAAATTTTTCAAGATAGAGACGAAGTCCAACTTTGGGGACGGAGATGCAGTGTAACTTATTTGGTCTAATTTTGAGGAATAATATTAATAATATAATAGCGGTTCCAGCGTTAATTAGGCCGTAGGCCTGTCGCCGATTCTTAGCATCGCCGAACATTCACAGTATTTTGCGGTCTCGAACTCGCAACTCACTGCTCCAATTCTGGTGTGCTTAACCGCCCGGCCTCCTCGCCGATTCTGACCAGAAACTGGCGCACAGAGCTGGGATCGAACCCGCGCTTCTCTGCGCCAAGCCTGGTACTCTGAACTTTAACCACTGGGCCACCCAGCCCATAATAATTGCTTGTGAGTGTACAGAGAATGTATCAGTAAATAAAGAATACTCTAGTATCGGTCGTGGTGTTCGTGAAGAAGAAGATATCGAAGATATCGTGGGAAAAGAAGCTAGTGGAAGCAAATCGCTAGCGGAGGAAAGCGTTGCTCCGGAATAGCAATTCAAATAGTTAATGTACTTTTTGTGATAATATTTTTCATTAATATTTGTATTAATTTTTGCATATTGGGAGCGCAGTGGCACACTGCCGTCAACTTTTGGAAATATTTTTACGATTTGGTTTAAAAGTTTAATCCGTTTAATTTCGTTAGTTGGATGCACATAAATATTTAAAGACCATGAAAGATCTCTATTGGTGAACCGATGCAGAAATTTATTGGGAATAATATCCTTCCTGTTTGCTCTGTCATGCAGACTACTTTGTTGGGCTGCAGTTTGTCGCTGCTATTGACATCAATTGAGTACCCTTACGATTCTTCCGCCATGAAGAACTGAGAACTGCAGAGGGTGACGTGTCTATTGTTGTGTTTCAGGGTCACAATCTACGAGTGTTCGGGGTTCCCATTCGATTCTATTCATCCCGACCACACCGATCGAGTGCTTCTTCCTGTTCTCTCGTAACGTCTTTATTTGCATAGTAAAGGACTTCTTTTATTTTTAATACTATTATTTCTCATTCATCTGTTATGGCTGCCAGCCATCTCATTCCGTGTTATGGCTGTCAACCATCTCTATACTCATTCCGCGCCCTTTCAAACCTTCGTAGCACCTGTTCTTACACAGATGAATTATCAATCATCTATACTCATCTCGTCCACCATTCATCGTGGATATTAATCACATGTCGTCTGCTCCTTACTCATGCATTCATCACTTCATTCCCGCGCCTATTCTTCATTGCAAGCAGGCGAGGCTCCAACGCCTCCAAGCTTGCGTTGTCATCTTTCTTTCGGTAATAAAATCAAAGGAAAACTAGTTTTAGGCCTTTTATTAAGCATGTATTAATGCAATGACGACGAAACGATTGAAAATTTATCTTGCGAATTGAAGGATGAAAATTGCCGAGGTTTTCCAAGATTCGAAGTAAGACAATGATAATGTGGAAGCACATAATCCTAGCAAAATACAAGAGCACTCTAAATGCTGCTGAAACAGCTAAATGATCCGCATCACAAATCTCCTGGCATTTTTTTTATTTCAGCACATTGAAGTTGTTCAATTAAGTCAAAATTTCGATTAACGTTAGGCCTACGTCGTAAATTATAAAACAGAAGCTTCAACTCATCCCGTATGCAAAGGTTGATTGCAAGATCTGCTATCGCACATATCAGGGTCGCCAAATTTGTCCTTGTGGTCCATGAACGATCCGTGTCGATAGTTCTTCTAAGTTTCTCTGGAATGCTGATTTTAATTCTGAATTTCCTTTATAGGAGGAAATAAAACGAATTTATATGTTTATGTAGTTTATTGGATTTTAAACACAGTTTTTTTAATTTATGATAACTTGGGCTCTTTGGCAACAAAGATCTTGAAACATAGGCGTTAGGTTGAGGTAGCAATGGAAACTTAATTAAAAGATTATTATAGGGGAAACATATGCATGAAGGTGAAAATTTTATAGAATGGTGCAAATTCATCAATATAGAAAGGTTGAAGTTCGCATCTTTTTGTCTTAAATATTTACAAAGCTTGCTGAGACAGCTAGGCATAGCCTGCATTTTCTGAGAACAAAATAATAATTAAATTATGCGAAAATATTGATGATGCCCTCCTACTCCTTAGAATTTCCAGTCAGCGCCGGACTTATATGCAGGTTTTGTAAGCTCAGGCGCCTTAATAACGAGGAAGTTTCCGGTTGTGAATAACTTTTTTTAGATATTGTATTAGATAGATAAAAATATACTCATTTCTTAATTTCCCTGATCTAAAAAGACATTAAAAATGTCTTTAGATGTGCATAGGAAGATTTGATATATCTTCGTGAATAACGTGTGTCTTTAAAGTCTAATATTTTCCATTCCTTGTCTAATGCTATGTGGCTCATGAAGCGCAACATCAATGGCGAAATATCTCAAATCAAATTCACATATAACATTTATGCGACATGGTTAGGGCTAACGTCTTGGTTAAGAAACTAGGCATCTTCTTGAAGCGCTATATATTGTCTCAACTTCGTTGGTATTGGCAGTTTTGTGACTCCGTGCGGCAGGTTCCATGAACTGGAAAGTTGGCGTCGGATGACCACCCGACACATACCCTTCAGCGTCGGCGCCGGGATGAGACCATCATTGACGATGCGAGGGTGAACGATGTCGGCATTACTTGGCAAACGGCGTACGACAACACAAGACATAAGCCGTTTCAATATCTCGACACATGCAGGAGGCCATTTTATTGGCCACTGCAATTCGCACGGGCATAGTTTCAAACAATGCCCCATCTCATGGGCAGATAAGCGGGATCCGTTTTCGGGATCTGGGTACGAGAAGCAATCGCAGGTTGGTCTTGTGGCCAGCGTTGCCCTGGCGTGCGCGGACAGTTTGCTGAGCACCGCAAGTAGTGGGCTATTACGAGACGCAGTGTGCGCATCCGCACCGCACATCAGTAAGTACTTGACAGCTTGCACGTTATCAGCTTGTATCGCGATAGTCAGCGGAACAGTATTTTGCAAAGACGGCATTGGTGCGTCCTGGATCTTCTTTGGAGGAGACCCGACCTTAAGCCCCACGCAGGTGCCGTGAATCACCCAGAATAGGAGGTTCTTTGGGTTGTCGCCATCTTTTTGATGAGGGCGCCAGCCGGAGAGCACGTGAGTTAGACGATGTCCTAGAAGAGGAGGGATAAACACTTTGTCCAAGCCGCCATCGCATTTGTGAATAGACTTCAGCAGAGTGCAAACGTGACTCGAATTCTCTAGCTTGTATTGGAGAGCCACTCCAGCGGCTACGTATAACAGGGCATGAGGATGGCCGAGTCTACAGATGCCGTTGTTTGATGCTAGAGCCGCGTTGTGGAATTGCTGAACTGCGATCAAAAAGCTGCCCACGTTTTCTTCGATGTTATCCTTAGCTTCAAACAGAGGAACCAGAGCAGAAACAAACTCCTGTCGTCGACCAGGAGTGAACAAACAGTCTCGAGGCTGACCTTGCAGAGCGGATGTGAGTAACTGCACATCACAACGGCCACCTCTCGACGCGGTGCCGAGCACTGCAAGCCATACGCGCTTGCTGAACTCGCTGTCATCCTCGTTACCAGGAAGGCCTGTCACTACGATGGTCTTGCGCTTCTGTAAATAATTCCACCCGTCCATCTCAATACGTGTGGAAACTTTCAGAGGTGTGGAACTAACTCTTTGAATATCAAACGGTTATCTTCTTTGTTATTGCGAAGAGTTCTATCCGCGCATGTTTGTGAACAAAAGCTGTCTAGCGCTGCTAGAGGTATTTCGTGCTGGTCATATTTTCCTTGTTTTTAGGACAAACATTTGCAAACTGCCTGTTTTAATTCCACTCAGCGGTCCTACTGCGAATAGTTTAACCCGTCCATGTCTCAGCGGTCGAGAGACTGCATTTCTTTAGCCGGTATTCAAACTTGGGGATTTTTCTGTGCCTGCTTGTGTCCGCGGCTGATTTTCATACACTAAAATTGTGACCGACATTTGTAAAGGTTATACATGTTCAACTATTCAAGCGGTCAAACATCACACGACGAAAACTATGCGTGTTTAATTAACGAGTTATTGTTATCGCAAGAAAAACACTTGTTTCAGAGGACAATAGTTCGGTAATCATGGCGTATGTTATTCGCACAATATTATAAGTAACAACGTATTTGAACCATATTCACACGTTTTTCCCTATTCATAAGTTTTTCCTTATTCATACGTTCTTCATTTTATATGCATAAATATAGATTTAATTTTATCGACTTCAAATTTAAAGTAGTGCATTATGCTCCTGAAAGATACCTGGAGGGCGACACTCGCGTCAGGTGTGAACAAGTGAACAGGACTGACGGCTGAAGATGTCTTGGCTAGAAACTACACAAGTGCAGCTGTGTACACTCCGACACTCGTATGGCTTCATCAAACACGCGCCTCTCCACACACCATGCCAGACATGTGTTGTGATCCAAAAGTGTGGCGTGTATAGGCATACATACCTAATGGATCACCCTTTACGGATCACACCTAATGGATCATGCCTAATGTATCATACCTAATGGTATGATACATTATTAGGTATGATACATTATTATATGGTATGTATTATGATACACACACATACCTAATAATAACGTAACGGATCAAATCTAACAGATGATGCCTATAATGGATCATAAATAATGGATCAGTTCTAATGCTAGATTATTATCATCATTCCTAAGGATCTTTTTTACGGTCCATCATACCAAATGGTTGATTACGATCACCACACCTGACGGTCGATAAAAGAATAATCTTGCGATCGCATCTCGCAACTCTTATTCTTTAGTAAAACAACGAGCCGTCTATGTATAATGTTGCTTATATTGCTGGTATTTTACGGGGGTGATAGCTCTACGTCACGAACAGCGTCCAGTTCTTTTGAGCTTAAGAATATTCTCACGATAATTGAATTTTTCAAGATTTCTGTTGATATTTTCTTTTGAAAATGAACATTGCATCTGTGCTCATTTATTTTCCCAATACAAATGTCTTTCGTCTATGACGAAATCGTGAAAAAAATAAAAATGATAAGTTAGACTTCTAGTAATAACGAAGTATAACCCTTATCGCATTATGGAAGGAGAATAACCTCTCGAGATGGTCCGGTTCTTTACATAAGTAACAGTGATAAGCTAGTGGCTTTTTAGTGTTAACATAATCTTTAATCGGAGTTAACTAATTAATTTAATTTAATCTTTTAATACATAGTGTTAACATAATCTTTAACTAGAGTTTGTCTCAATTGTTATTCCCAATTTTATTCCTAGAATTGGCTGTCCTTGTCCCAAGTTGTAGCTACGCTCGTTGTCTGACATGTGTGAGATGCGTACGTAATTATACTTATAGTTACAGGTTTAATGCACTCGCGGCTAAACGTTCCAGCGATACCACGCCGTAGTCTTTGGGATGCTTCTCACTATCCTGCAGTAGGGGTTCTCAGACATTACCCCCATTTTGGGGTACATTTTTATTGTCACGTACCACCTGGTATTTCTGCGTACCGCAAATACTACACATAAGCCCCCATTACTATTATATACATTATATTTTGCTTAATCGGCTCATAATAGGCGTATTGAGTAATCCACGACATGATGAAATTGCTGGAGGTATCTTCCGTCTACTCGGTGCTCCTCTTTTCTCAGCCCTTGACGGGTTTTATTATTTAAAAGCGGACTAGAGTAAACATTTGTAGATAGGCCGCTGCTAGAGCAGAGACGGGAGAGGAGACGATAGGCATTGACAAGAGTTGCGCTCTCAGTAAAATTAATACGCGGAAAATATTGGATGCTCACGTGAGATCCTGTGCACACGTCATCTTACTATACTGGCACTGAAAACTAAAAGACCAACTTTTTGTTATCGAGGATGTTATTACTACCAACTGACCTCACTGTCGCTGCAGTTTTGACCACTAACTGACCTCACTGTCCCTGCAGTTTTGACCACTAACTGACCTCACTGTTATTGCAGTTTTGACCACTAACTGACCTCACTGTCCCTGCAGTTTTGACCACTAACTGACCTCACTGTCTCTGCAGTTTTGACCACTAACTGACCTCACTGTCTCTGCGGTTTTGACCACTAACTGACCTCTGTCTCTGCAGTACGCTGGCTGGTGGTGGGATATTTCGCGGGTGCCCAGCAGCTACGAGGGCGTCGTGCAGTGCACCCACCAGAACATCACTCTTAAAGGTGGGCATTCAGTGCACCGACTGGAACATCATCCTGAAAATAAGCGTCATCCAGGGTGTCCAGCAGAAGACCAATCACGACCTAGCGTAGAGGGTGGATGAGCGTTAGCACTGACACGACACAAGATGATCGATGGACGCCAATACTAAAAAAGTCGACGCTAAATGATATCCATTTTGTAGTGGTTTTCATATATGCTAGAAAATTCCACCCTGTCCCTCTCTCATATTTCTTTCCCCCGTATATTCAATTTTATTTCATATGTATTATTTTTAACTTCATTCCGAGTAAAAATTTTTGGCTGAGAATATAAAGTTTTTTGGTCAATTTTGTCCAAAACTAATACCCTTATGTTCAGACGGGGCAATGGTGGTCGTGAAAGAAGGCCTCACGGCAGACGGACTACCCGCCAACAAGTCCGCCATCGTCAGCGTGGACACCTCCGTGCCTCATCCTCATCCTGCCCACCTCGTCGTAGACGCAGAAGGAGTTCCTTCAGCGCCATATAAGGTACGACAACCTCACTTCGCAGGAGGTCGTCTCTGGACCAGTTGGACCTGAAATGCTGCAATAGGTAATCCAGTGCTGGTACTGCTAATGGGGTTACGGTGGCAGGGTGTGATCTGTCGAGAATGGTTAATTACAATACCGTAAGTTGCTCACTAGATAGAAGTGCTTGGGTCCAGCGATGGAAGAAGTCTTAATTTGGTCCAGTGCTGGTAATGTGCAGGTCTAAGTCTATTGGTGGTATGAATCAAGTGTAAGTAGTGGATTCGTTAGCCGCATTGGTATACTTAACCTAGACTTGCAAGAAGTAAGAACCAGATCATGTTTGACAGGCGGCGAGCAAAAACTTCAAAAATTTTGGTTTAAACACTAAAATGCCGCGTAAACGATCACCATACAGGGATTGGGTAAGAAACGGTTCTTTTTGGCAGGCATCGTACGGCTTGGGAATATTAAAGCAAAATATTATAATGTAAATTAACAATTTACATAGAACGATGACGCCTCCTGCTGCAGGTGCTGGCCACGGACTACGCGCATTACTCGTGCGTGTACTCGTGCCTGCAGTTCCCTGGCGTCTTTGCCGAGTTCTTCTGGATATTCGCGCGGCAGCCGACCTTAGCGGAGGTGATGGTGTGATGCATGCTACATTGTGAGGTGATGAAGGTTGTTCTGTGAGGTGATGAGAGTTTTTCTGTAAGGTTATGAGAGTTGTTCTGTGAGGTGATGAGAGTTGCCTGTGAGGTGATGAGAGTTGTTCTGTGAGGTGATGAGAGTTTCCCATGAGGGGATGAGAGTTGCCTTGTGAGATGATGGGCTATTCTCTATGATGTGACCAAAGTGTATGTTGACAGTAATTATGTTATCAAGCGAAGAGAGCTGCCTTACCATGTGATAAGACTGTCTTAATAATGTGATTGTAGTTGCACTGTGAAGTGATGAAAGTTCAACGTACCACATGATATATATGAAGTGTAGTAATGTGTGTGCGATTACAGTGGAACTAACAATCATCTTTTGGAATTGCAAGACCTTTGACTTAGAATCCTGTATAAGGATCATTAATTCGCGATCACATCCTACGGATCCTTCAATAACTTTCTTCCCATAATCGTTTTATCCTCCTACAGAAGTACCGTCAGCTGTGCCTGGATCACTTCAGGTCCACCGGCATTGACACAAGCAAGCTGGTGGCTGTCCTGCAGGGCGAGGTTAGACATGGGGCGGTATGGCTCGGTCGCTGCGCTATAATTTCTAAGTCAGGTGCAAACTAAAGAGGCAATGGAAAGCGAGTTCTGCAGGGAAAGATCATGCGTGAAGGGAAAGTGAAGTATCGTGAGGCGTGGCACAAAAAATACACCACACCCCACCCATACAAAATTACGGTAGCGACTATAGCGGTCAGTGCAACATCAAACAACATACGGAGCATGAATTAGTATTTTGATCTCTTAATTGCACGAGTCAAAATTCTAATATGTATATTTTTAATTTTACTAATTTACAGGCAAAGCAAATTCTACAAAAATTTACCATATGTTTATAGGAAACAGTTCTGCGTCCAGCTCTTTCGTTAGTTCGAAATTCTTGAACACAAGTACAATAAATTAGCACAACTGTGATTCACAGAACGGTTATTAAAATCTAAATAGCGCGAACTATGTACATGCACGTATTGGCATTGAAGGCGAATTTCCGACTTCGTAAAAACTATTCTCTTCGCAGTACAAACTGTACTGACTAACACATTCAAACTACTATGCAGTACAGACGAGCGTATTCATGTAAGGTTGATATGCGGAAATTATACCAGTTTATCCCATACCATTATCCTACTGTAAATGACTTGTGCTGCAATAAGTATATACATCAGCGCAGTGTGTTGCGCATCACCACGCGCATGCCTGAGTTGACACTGATGTTGGGGTTTGTTGGTACATGAAAACATGACTGCATGATGCATCACCTGATGTTACCCCTCACTACGACGCTATAATTTGCAACATGACTGTAATTTTACCAAACGATTTCACTTTGGCTGCATCACAGAATTGTTTCAGTGTTCACGTAGGAATGCTATAAAGTAATGCAGTCAAGCAATGGCAAATAAATCTCAAATGATATGTTTTAAATAAAATAATTCTAGGCATATGCTCAGCAGCTATCGACGTGGCATCTCCCGGCAGCTGAACCGTGAACTGTATAATAATACGGTAGCTGAAGCGTGACACGAACTGTACGTATAATAATACGGTATAGCTGAAGTGTGTCAAGTGTGTCACGAACTGTATAATAATGCAGTAGCTGAAGTGTGACACGAACTGTAGCTGAAGCGTGTCACATACTGTATAACAATACAAATAATTTTTTTAGTTACACAGATCAACATTATAATTCTATGTCCTCAGGTCTGCCCGTACTCAGGCCGTCTAGAGACCATGCAGCGCACCAATCATCTAATCCTGCAGCATGCCATGGAGGTCTGGCCATCCATCCTACGCTGTTTAACTATAGGAACATTAGGCCGTGAATGCATGCAAAAATATGACATTACTGAACATGTACTTAGCAGTAAACAATTATGTTTAACTGCACTATCAGCGAACTTTGTACAATTTTTTAGATCAGATATCACCCACATATTGCATCTAAACTTTCGCGCTATTTGTTTGAGAATTAATGAAATTTTGCAGAAGTGGAAAATTAATTCCAGTTAAAAGTTTTTTTTCCCGCGTAGAATGCAGAGATATTTCTTGATAAAAACACCTTTTGACTTGAACGCTTCCCATCACGAAAACATTCTACCAGCAAATATCGTCACCAAATGTTAATTGGAACAAAAATACGAACACGTGGCGCCTGACGCCGTACTGGAACATCCACCAGTCACTGCTAATACGGTCACCTTGACTATATGTCTTCCTATTGTGCTTTATATTAAATATTTCGTTTATACTAATTGCACAATCAGAAATGTCGCAAGGTACGAAAAACTTTAATCAGGAGGAACCTACGTATTTTATTGACGATAAAAATACCATGATAATTTTTATTTTATTTCACAAGTCTCGGAAGTAGAACGAAGTTTGAATTTTGTTTCAAATCGGTCCTTAGAATCGTTTAATATCGATGGAATACATTCACAGGCGCCGCAGGTGGGGCGGCAGCTAGAGTCGCGCAGCAGCGTGTCGGCAGCTGGAGCGGCGGCCGACAGTGGTGAGACGAGCTTACTTTGTCTCTGAACAATTATTAAATGCCGATATAATAAAAAATGTTATAATTATTATTCACAGAGCCGATATAATAAAAATTATGATGTATTTGGGCAAGAATGATGTATATGCGAATTGTAAGGATGTCCAAATATGAACGTTGCGTAGATGTGCGCTGACGTGCTGGTGTGGTCTGCACGAAGTATAGGTAAGACTCTTTTAACTATGGGACGAATGGGTGATGATAAAACAAGTTGTAGCTGGGATAAAGTGAGACGAAAAAGATTATTAAATAAAAATGAAAGTAAAGTCATTTGATTGCTCAATCTTTATCAAATAAAAGTGACCCCGAAGAGTGAATATGTGTGCGATGGTGGTGGGGGTGGGGGATCTATTGTTTACTGTGAGAGCTGGGTGTGCTGCTGGGTATGCTGGGTGTGCTGGGTGTGCTGGGTGTGCTGGGTGTGAATGGATGTACACAGGGCCTGGGGAATGTAAGGAAGAAGTATGAGTGTTTTATGTGCAGTTGATATGTGAAGCGCAGTTGATATATTTATGTGAGGCGTATGTGAGAGAAAGATGGGCAATAATGCTGATTCTGCAGGTAGGTTGGGCGGAACAGAGTGAGGTTGTGGTAAGAGGGAAATGGTCAAGAATGAATGGCAATGCTTATGAGTTATGACTTGATCGGAGGGAACAACTCTGGCTGCGGCGGGAGTGTAAAAAATTGATTTGGAAAAGACCTGCAAAAGATACCTCTGGCGAATGTGTGGGTTGTGAGAGTGCCGAAGATGAATCTAAAAATATTAATAATGGAGTTGATAGAAGAAAAAAAAAATACAAAACAAATTAATCAATGATGGCCAACCATGAGAAATATATGTTATTTAGTAGATGTTTTATTTATTTAGTAGGTGTTTATTCTGTTTATTCCCCCCCCTCCCAATTCCAATTTTATGAAACTTTCATATTCGAGTTTTAACACAAATGCTGGTAATATAACAATTACACTCTCGAAGCCTTCTTACGGTAAAATTTTTGCGTAAACTGACAGGATTTTCACCTCTTGCAGATAACTCCGGCACAGGCTTGCAGTGTAGCTACACTGGACATCTGAGTGCTGCCGTAGTGTTGGTTCTCGCTCTCCACACATACAAGACGTCATACGATCTCAGCTGATACATGAATGAAGTACCGCGAAATAAAATTTCCAGTTTTACTATACAGTAATTGCTTGCTGGGTAAGATAGATGTGTAATTCCTACCAGCTACCTCATTAAATAGTTATTTCGACATTATGGTTGCCTATGACAAGATTTCACGTCGATATTACGCTATTTTCTTGTTGGTGATGCATGAAAACTATTGTTAATAAGAATTCGATATCTTACACGAATTTCAGACATGAAAGCGGTTTGCTTGATTTCTGTTAGTGAATAATGTAGAATACTCGACAAATTGATGATAATATATTAAAAAATGTCATCGCCTTCTAATAAACCTTTATTAGAATTTGAAAGCGTGAAAATCTTGCGCGCAATGCAACTCATGCACGCCAGCAGCAGACAGTGAACCAACCGTCTAGGGAGTCTCCACTTTCCACAGACTTATTCTAATTAATAAGAGTCCTGCTTTCATGCGCAATATCATTTGCTATGGCATGTGCTCACGGATTACCAGGTCGTTTATGATGAAGAAAAATCAGCAGGCCCTAAATTACGGACGCTACTCACGCGGCTGCCAACTTCTGATCAGTCGTCGACGACCTATTTTCAGCCGTTGTTTTCTGTTGTTATCCACCCGATTTTTCCTTCATTCCATAGTGAATGAGAACCTCGATAACCATTCACATTTTAATTAGTGTTTATGAAATTTAATGAAAAAATATTCAATTTCCTAGAGGTGAATTAGATGATATTACCGTCTTCGTTTACTGCCAGTTGCTAACTCAATGTCCCTATAAATCACACAATATTATAACTCACGAAATAAATCAAGTTCGGAGCATATCTTATAGTATTTGAAGATGAGGTTCTATTTTTTGTATTAATATTAACTTTCGTAGTTTAAATTTTCCGTTAATAAAAAGACGAAACTGTCAACGCTATTATTCCTCCTGCTATAGTCGTATATTGCAAAGGCAGCTATTATTGGGAAAAAATGAGTGAAAATTCAAGACTCTGCTAGCTTCAGATTCTGTTCAATTTCTGAGTCAGTTTTTATCAGAAATTTATACCAGATTTTTCCTGTCGTAAAATCTAGCTTGCACTTGCGGTTCTAAATGCATCAAACATGAGATCAATAAAAATTGATGATGGTCGCCGATTTTTTCAATCTTAAAATCTAATCACTCTCAGCTTGGAAATGAATAATTGCACTCCTGGCAAATATTTTAGATCTAAAAGATTGGCGAAGTAGACATTTTAGACAAGACAGTAGTGCATTTACATCAGAGTATCTAATCGACGTATGTATCGTTCAAATCTGTTCAATATTTAAAAAAAAAAAAAAGAAATTATGATATAAAAAATTTTATAGTTTCTTCAAAAATATTTTCAATAATTTAGATCAAAATTTCAAAAAAATTTCACTACGAATTTAAGTACGTAAAGCTGTTTAAATCGAGAATGAGGGTGAAATATATAAAAAAAAAACTCGCAAATGAAGGCAAAATCAATTTCACGAGCTAAACATCACCGTTGGGGTGGTTAGGTTTGTATATTCAAATTTTCGTTCAAATCTGTACAGTAGTTTAGAAGAAATGTCTTTTTCACTGCGAATTTCGGCAGGTATCGCCATATAACTCACGAATGAAGGTGAAATTCCAAAGATTTTCACGAACTATAATCACCGTTAGGTTATAATGAATACATGCACAAAGTTTCATCGAGCTACGTTCATTACTTTTGAAGATATTTTTTGTTCACTGAATTTGGAGATTTACCGCGAGACCGGCTGCAAGTCCGGTCGCAAGTCCGGCGTAAATTTGTCACTGACGTCGACATACGAGACGAGAACCTATTATCATTGAATGTTCACATTATATTATTGAGCTCCTAATCTTTATTAAATACAATAAATAGTTAATTGTTTCATATTTTCCTACGTACAGAAGTTTTGTAACATATGCTGCTGATATGCATTTGATGAACATTTTTGCAGCATCAAAAAGAAGTTATAATAATTTATAACCTAAAAATTGGATATAATGTTCCATAAATGAATGATATTTGTTATATAATCATAATGAAAATTCGTATTCTCGTTTTATTTCCGTATATAATACGGCTATATAATTTACGAATTTTCCTCTGAATTGTAGTAAGATACACACAGTATTGTCGTAATCTGGCAATAGCGAAGGGCGCAATGTTTAGTTTGTTTACTACGTTTGAAAACAGTGGTCTACGAGCGGTTTCGGAAAGTGACAGAGAACGCATCCAGCTGCAGTGGCTTTACACAAATATTCATTTTTGCTATGAGTTTGAGCCATGGATACGATATACTCGCTCAACGAACTGCAGGAAAAAAAGTACGCTGAACTATGGAAGCTTGGAAAAAGTTTGGGCGTAAAGGGAGGCCGCATAAAGGTAAGATAAGTCTCGTCTGTGTAGGCTAGTTCTCAACTGCACTGATTACTGAACAGTTTACAGTTGTAGCCTTGTAGGTAGTGAAGTGCAGAGTTGACGGCCTTGGCAACAGCCTAACAGGCAAGATCATTGAAGATGTAGGGGTAGGCTAACTAGAGACTTCTGTTGGAAATGAAATGTTTAATAACGAGAAAAGGTTCAGTGTTTAGGGTCATAGAATATAGATTATAGATACTATCATGATTGGAGCGCTAACTTGCTAACTTGCTAAGTCTATAATGTTGGAAACTCAGCACTAAAATTTTTGAAAATTCTGGTTGAAAATGACTAGGTACATCTGACTTCTAACAGTGACACATAAACACTTTTGCCTTTTGGGACAGATTTTCATAGCATATTTTCACGATCGCAATTCGCAAGTTTGTTTTTAATCAAAACCTTTCTGTCTAACTGTCTTGAGTCCTGACCTACCAAAAATAAAAATAAAATTTTCTGTCCATTTAAATTTTAGGCAGTGCACTAACTTCGGCCACTAAGTGCAAATTTTTAGCAAATTTGCCATGCATAAGGTTGTCATATCAAAGCTAACCATGTGCTCATTCCATTCTGGAAAATTTGGCAGATTGTAGAAGTTAGCAGTGAAATGTGAATGAGATAAAAATGCCTGTGAAAATGTGAAATGGTCCCTTTCACACATATTTATGCTAACTTGGAAAGTTGGAATATTGGGCAGACAGAGTGGAAATCTAAGATTAGAGGTTCACTTAAAAAAAAAGCGTTCCGCCTTGAAAAAAAAAACGTTCCAGGCAAGTGGCAACTAGAAACAGGTTTGCAGGTCGTCAGAAATCGGCCTCGGCATGAACGTTACGTCAGGCAACACAGAGAAAATCCCAATATTGTTAATAAAATGTAAACAGACGGTGTTCAGTGTTGCCATATGACTTTGGAGAAAATTTCTTCTAAAATAAAGATGGCCAGGATTGCGCGAACATGTGGGCGAAGATAATCAATTTTCATTACATTGCGCAAACTGTGCACAGCAATAGCTTAAAAAAAGTGAAAATGCGCGGGAAAATTCACCGAAAACATACATCATCCTGAGTGTGGGTTAAATTGGCCAGATTTACATACATTTTTCTCCAATTCACACTTCGCAGGTTGCCTCTGCGCAATTTTCAAGTTTTATTTTTACGACCATTGCCTGATTTTTTCAGAAAAAATATGAAAATGGCCCCTTTTTGCCTGCAACTTTGAAAGGTGCTCATAAAACTATATAATTTTTATCCACAATTTTATGATATTAATTTATCATTAACTCATTTAATTATTATTAAAAATATTTAGAAAATATTGAGTCACCAATTTTTAACTTCACCAGGCATATCCTGTTATTTTTTTTTACTTTCATAATAATTTTCTATTATCAATTTGTAACCATTTTTAAATGAACAAATGAAAGGATTTATTCCTAATAAGAAGAATCATGATTAGGTATTTTTTTGTCTTGAATAAAGAGTATTTAAATGATTATTTTATGCCAAATTCCTTAGCTGAATTCAAAATAATTGGAATCTTATTAATACAAATTAGGAATTGCTAAATTAAAATTGAAGTCCTTCATAGTATTGTAATTCACTTACATGAATATATGTGATTCTCAGTGTTTATTGGATTTTTCTCTTTTATCAATCATCCAGATTATGTTTGCCACTGTCTATACATACACCTCACTTCTCATCATGCTATGAATATTATTTTTGCCCTCGTTATCACGGCTGCAATTTCGCTTCCTAATATGAAACTATGCAGTATGACATGCAATCTAATAAGGAGTACCGGTAATTGAATTAGTGCAATATTATGCAAGACATTTTAGATAATATAGCTGAGTAAAGAAGAACTCCACTTAAAATGCATTAGAAAATATGTTTTTTTAATTGTTGTATTTTATTCCTCATAGAAATGCCCTCTCATTACATTACATAACCTAAGATATGCTACATATCCAATTTTACCTTGCTTCTTTGTTTGCATATCAATAATATCACGCCTGTAAATTATGTCTGCATTAAAAAACAAGCTGTACCATGAAGCTAGCTGTTTTTTCATTCACACATACCCTGGATTCTGGATGGGTCATATTAAACACTATGGCTGGCTGATGACTAAGGGACTTAACAAAATAGCAGTACCGTAAAATGGGGTAACTTAGACCGGCGGGGTAACTTAGACCACTTTTCATTTTTATAACAAAAATCCCCACAACTCAAAAACTATTTGACATAGAAAAATTTTGTCAACGGGCATTAAAGGCCTAATACTGAGGCTACATAACACAATAGAAAGATTTGAAAAGTTTGCATATCTAATAGGTTAAAAAATTAAAAATGTGACCCATTTTTTTATTTTTTGGTTAAATAACTCCAGGTTTTGATGCATTGTAGTAGAACTCTTCTAGTTACATATTGTAATTAATGAAACCAATTTCCAGTCTAATACGGGTGCGACAACGTTTATTCAAATCATGAATATGGTCTACAATTTAGCCGTTAGACATTTATATGGAAAATCAGTTTGGAAGGGCTTGGATCAAGGTTTCGATTTGGTTGTAGTCCTCAATTCAGCAGAGAAATAAGTGGAGGCAGCTGGCGATTACGTGCTAGTGGCACGTAAATTGCGAGAAGTCACCCCGGATTTGTTCTGCGACNAGACAACAGTGTAACTAACTGAAAATATTCTAATTTCTTTCTTCCGATGCTTTTAAATAAACAATTTTTGACAACCCTAATTAGTCTTTCCCACAACGAACCAACCCATGGCGAATACAAGGGAATAGTCTTGTGTCGGATACTGTGCTGAATTAGGAACCTAGACAGAGCACAATCTAAGCTAAGCTTCGAAAGAATATTGCCTGCCTTCATAAACGTACTTGCATTATCACTATACAAGACCGAAGGCACGCACTGAGCGTTGCAAAACCTTTTGAAGGCCAGCAGGAAACTGTCGGTTGACATATCTGGCAAGAGTTCCAAATGCACCGCTCTAATGTTAAGGCACGTAAAAATTAGAATGTAAAATTTTTTAACTTTATCCCCGTATTGAACGGTTAATGCACCAGTGAAATCGACCCCGGTGTTTCTGAAAGGCAAAACGAAATTAGCTCTGTCGCTGTGCAGATCCGTTAACTTTGGCTGTTTGAAAGGCAAAGCATTAATTTTCTTACAAATGATACACTTACTCAAAGTCTTCTTTACCACGGCTCTGCCGTGTGGGACCCAGAGCCCACTACCTCTGATAAAATTTAGGGTAGACTTGACACCCAAGTGACAGCAGCGAAAATGGGCATCCCACACAAACAGTTCAGTTAAATGGCTTTCTTTGGGAAGTAAGATCGGGTTTCTTTTGTCATAGCTCAAGTTATAACATTTGTCTAATCGGCCCTTAGCGCGCAGAATTCCTTCCTGGTCAAGGAAAAGATTGAGGTTAAGCACCA